CCCCCTTCCCACTTAGACGTTTGGCCGTACTCAAGGACAACCGTGGTCTGCTGGAGTCGTACATGCTGACATCTAGTGACGCCACCTACAGCTGGGTGGATGGCGACATCATCATGGGCGGGAACCAAACCCTGGTGGGCGGAGTTGTAGCGGTGAGTGACAGCTGTCTGTCTTATACTCTGGTGGGAGTAGTTATAGCGGTGAATGACAGTTGCTTGTCTCCTACCTTGGTGGGCGGAGATATGATGGGGGTAGGCAAGAATCAAATCATTGTGGGTAGAGTTTTGGTGGTGAGTGACGTCTCACGATTTTTGTGCTATGCATAGCTATTCTAAACAGGACAGAGACATTCAAACAACGTGTGTGTTTTTTTTTACGGATAACATATTTTTGTTACACACTCACTTACTCACTCTCAAATCCTCCCACCCCCAATCCTCTAGACTCCATGCCCCCTAACTCTCTCACATTCTACCTTTTCATCTCTCCTCCCTCCTATCCATTAACAACGCTATCATTGAACAATGCTGTCAATGCTGCCATGACTGTCGGTGGATCTAATTGCATGGTGCCGCCAATCTGGCCGGCTAACTTATCAGTACATCACACACAATGGAATGACTGAGGGAAGCTGGTGTCTCTAGAGGGTCGGGGAGAGACCGCAACATAAGTGGAAAAGCCAGAAGAATATCCAACCAGCTAATAACTGGCACTCTAAGCAAGCTGTAAGAAAGCCTAGCGGAAACATCACAAGACAGTCACTGCAATGAAACTCACAGGGAGAACGAGGCATGGGTAGGCCACGGGAAAAATAGGAGAAGCGCGGAAAGGGACCCGAGAGAGATGAAGATCACTTCGAATGAGCTTGGAAGGATGGCCTAGGACAGACATAAATGGAAGGAGCCTGAATGTGGCCTATACCCTGCCAGGGGTTAAATGATGGCCCAGGACAGAGATAAATGGGAGGAGGTTGTATATGGCCTATACCCTGCCAGGGGTGGAAGGCATTGATTGATTTGATAAGCAAGCAAACTCTGGAGAGGAGGGAGGAGCAGCTATGGCATTGTGCCTATTGCAATGAAGCCTATTCTTCAACCAGATAAGTAAGTCACACCCTATCACCCTTCCACTCACCCACCTTCGTACCCTTTCACCCTCCTAACCTCCCACACCCTCCCACCTCTCACACCCTCTCACCATCCCAACCTCTCTCACCCCCCCACCCTCTCACCTTGTCATCCTCCCAACATCTCACACCCTCTCACCCTCTCACCCTCTCACCCTCTCACCCTCTGTATTGTGTAGGAGAGAACAGAGATCATCGCCACCTACGCCCTGTGTGGATTCTCCGCCGTCTCGGGTATAGGCATCACCCTGGGCGCCCTCATCCCGATGTCTCCTGCCAGGAGGGTTGACGTCGTGCAGATGATTCTCAGAGCCTGGGTGGCTGGAAACCTGGCCAGTTTTATTACTGGCTCCATTGCAGGTGGGTGCGACAGACAGACAGACAGACAGACAGGCAGACTGACAGACAGACAGACAGACAAACAAACAGACAGACAGACAGACAGACAGACGTGCAGTTTCGCTTTTTATCGGAATACATTATTATGTGTTTTACCATACTTGGCGTTGTTTTTGGATGCGGGAAATGGGGATAGAGAGGGGAGAAGGAAGAATGGAACGATTATCTGAAAAGGAAAGACGTCGCCATAATCAGACAGCCACCTGAACAATCAGTATGGATATCTTGCGGGCTTTGGTGCTGGGGGAAACTGAGCACTTATGGACCTGTCCGGTGTGCAATGAATGACGTTGATGCCCAGGACAGGTAATAGAGGTATGTAGCCCTTAATTTTGATAAAAAGTGAGTCAAATGGCGAGCACCATAGTGAACTGGGATTACTTCAGAGTGCGGCGATGTATTTAAGTGCAATGCTAACAAGTCTATGATAGATCTATATTTGATTGCAAAGTTTAAAGTCAAAATCCTCTCTTTTTCTCACAACATGTCATATAAGCGCAGTTTTTTTATTTTTTGAAATTTTGTTTTCTGCTTGCTTTGCCTAAGCTTGCGTTATTATTGTTTCTTTTTGGGTTTATTTCGCGGAGAGGGGCACACGGATAGCATATGTAAATTAGCGTGGCTTTTAACATAAAAAAAAAAATGATAAAGTATTTTTTTTTTCTCCCGCACTAGTCTTGCGGTGTCATTTTGGGCCACTTGTAATTTCCTCATTCGTTCACATGAAACACTAGATTTCTAGACATACAGAGTACCTTCGAAATCGGAACGTTGTTGCCAGATGGCAAGGGGCCCTACTAAGTAGTAAAGGCGGTCACACAATACGTACAAATCAGTTGCACTGCAGGTAAGGAGGTTATGCAGTAAGGTGATCATGGATGGCTGGTGCCTCTATAAATAAATCATTGATGGCCTGGTCTGGACAGTAAGGTTGATAAGGTTTGTTGTAAGGTCCTGACTGCAGGTTAAAGAACGAGCAGTTACCTACCCCCGAGAGATGGCGGGGAAGGGCAGAGAAGAAAAAGATTACCTTTACATACTTGGCCTTACTTTTATTATTCCCAGGAACGATGTTTGTGGATCAAGGCAGCTAACCATGGAGTGGGATTCTGGCAGTGCACCACCACGTCCCTCACCACGCCCCCCACCACGTCCTCACCGCGTCCCCACCACG